GGTTTGCACCAGGTCTGGGGACACAGGGACACCGTCTTAAAGGGGCCGTGTCCCCAACAAGTCTGGGGACACGGCCTTAAAGGGGCAGTGTCCCAATCTTCCTGATGTCCCAAAAAAGGTGTTTAAAGGGCCAGCACCAGTCACATAGAGTCCATAAGCCCCAATATGCCCACCGACAGTCTTAAAGGGCCATACACACCAAATAAAAGTGCATAAATTTTCACAATCTCCCAGGGGCCATAGTCATGCGGGAGGAGGCTGGCAAATAGGCTTCTCCACAACCCAGGGAAGCAGGGCAATTTGCCATTTAAAGGGCCCGTTACAAATAGCAGTTTGTAACAAGGTGTCAATCCATATCTGCCAAGTGACCCGATGTAGGGGGACCAGTCCCTATTCTGCTCTGTGTCAGTGTGTATCAGGGAACCTTAGGACAGGTGTCAATCCATATCTGCCACGTGACCCGATGTAGGGGGAACAGTCCCTATTCTGCTCTGTGTCAGTGTGTATCAGGGATCCTTAGGACAGGTGTCAATCCATATCTGCCAAGTGACCCTATGTAGGGGGACCAGTCTCTATTCTGCTCTGTGTCCGTATGCATCAGGGGCTCTGAGGACAGGTGTCAATCCATATGTCAAGGTGTCAATATGTCATATGTCAGGTGTCAATCCATATTGATTGTGATTTAGGAATGTAAGGTGATTTCTGCCCTTTATGGATTAAAACCAGACTCTGTATCAACTGTGTAATTTTCCATGGGAGTTTTGCCATGGATCCCCCTCCGGCATGCCACAGTCCAGGTGTTAGTCCCCTTGAAACAACTTTTCCATCCCTATTGTGGCAGAAAGAGTCCCTGTGTGTTTTAAAATTCGCCTCCCCATTGAAGTCAATGGCGTTTCGGGCGGTTCGCCGGTTCGCGAACATTTGCGGAAGTTCGCGTTCACCGTTCGCGAACCGAAAATTTCGGGTTCGCGACATCACTACTCCACACCAATTCTGCTTGCGGAAGTGATTTTCTGAGTGAGGTGTATACTATTTAAAAGGCCTTTTATAAAAGTGCTGATTTCTATAAGAAACACCCCCTGACGGTCAATCAAGCAGTCATTTGGCTTTGCTTCCTGCATCTCTGTCCCTACCAGTATTGAATGCCTTTTGCAAAATCCAAGAAGATCACACCCACTGCAACACCCTATCTACACTTCAATTTACTTAAGTTACTAAAGTTAGTTTGACATGAACTATGTTTTATAAAACCATACAGATGTTTGCTAATAACAATGTTGTTCCAAATGAATTCCTGAAAATGATCGCTTAATAACCCTTCAAATACTTTCACATTAACTAAATTAAGATCACGAGTTTATAATTTCCAGGCAATGATTTTGATTTTTTTTTTTTAATTAGGAACCAACCTTTCTCCAATTCCTGAAAGAAAAGAATCCTGTAATAATGAAAACAGAGGTTTGCTTATTTCGACACACAGCTTCTTAAAGCGGCACTGTCATGCCAAACTTACCTTTCCTCAATCTCTTCCTCTTCTCCCCCTCTCTCAGGATCTGTTCTTCTTTTCTTCCTGTCTTTTTTAGTTTTCTTTAAAATCATTAGACAAAGTGGGGACTCTTTGCCTTATGGAGGATTCCTCCGCTTGACCAGCTCTGACCAATGGAGGAGCAAAGTGTGCTTTATTTCCGCTGGTCAGAGCAATTTTCCCATGATCCTTACCTTTCCTCTGTGTTCCCACGATGCTTCCTGTCATTTTAGCTGAAACTGCCAAATTGCATTCTAAATGAATGAGAACAGTCTGGGCGGCGGGTGGGGGCCATAATGATAATGAGGGGGGACCTAATGCCCTCCCCCCTGCCCCCACCTCTAGGCGGGTTATCTTTATCATTATCTTTATGGCCGCTGCCCAGGGATGGGGGCCAGAGGGGGGGTGGACAGTAGGTCCCCCCCCTCATTATCAATATGGCCCCCACCCGCCGCCCAGTGGTGGGGGCCGGGGGGGAGGACAGTAGGTCTCTCCCCCCTCATTATCAATATGGCTTCCACCCGCCGCCCAGGGGTGGGGGCCGGAGGGGGGGTGGACAGTAGGTCCCCCCCATTATCATTATGGCCCCCACCCGCCGCCATATCATTATGGCCCCCTTATTTTACATTAGGGCCCCCACCCGTCGTTTAGGGTTGGGGGCAATAGTTTTTTTTGTTTTTTTACAGTGAGCAGCCACAGGCCACAGGCTGCTCACTGTTTAGTGGACATGCCCCTACTCGCGGTATAGCGAGTAGGGGCATGTGGGAGATTTTAATCTCCCTTGTGCTATCTATTGACCCCCATAGAGTTAGGGGGGAGCTGGGGGGCTTATGAAGTGGTGGGGAGCACTGCTTCCTGCCGCTTCTATAGTTACATATTACAAGGAGGGAGCTGCATGCCGGTAGCTCCCTCCTTGTAATAAACTGAAAGAACAAACGAACACTGATACTCAGTGTTAGTTTGTTCGGCTGATATTTCTATTCATTCATTCGTCTGTCTGATGAATGAATGAATAGATGAAATTCACGTTCGCATGTCCAGGTGTTTCACTGGGCATGTGCGTGAATCTCGGTGCTGTCTAGTGTGGGCTGATGATGTGTCCCACAGCAACTTAATCTACCCACACAAAGATGGCGGCGCCCTGAGTCAAGATCGGGGCAGAAAATAAGGAATAAAAAATAGGTAATGTGGGGGGCTTAGGGGCATTTGGGCGTGACTCTGGTGTCAATTAGAGATAGTGGAGGCTGGAGGGGGGTTAAAAAAAACAGGATTCGGCATGACAGTGCCGCTTTAAGTACTCGTCAGTGAATACCATCAAACCCTGGGGCTTTGTTTACATTACTTTATTTAGTTGCTACAGTACCTTATCTAAAGTCATCCAATCACAATGTTTCTGTTTTTATAGCATACATTTGCATATTTCTTGCAATTTGTTTAAAAATGTAAAGAATGTAGTGTGTAGGCGCAATTTGGATAAAACAAACTAAAACACGTGGCCATAATGAATAAATAGTGCTTCCACAAAAACACTCAAAACATAAAATACAAAGAATACAAATGTATCAGTGTACACACAATTCCCAGTGAGAAATATAAAATAAATAATACCACCATATGAGGATGGCAACATGATTGGTACCTAAAATACAAAAATAAAGCACTACATAGCGTGAACTGTATACACAAATAAATGCAGAGTGAATACAGGACTACCACTGAATCTACTAGTCACTTCTCACTTGATCTGCTATTAAAAACATTATAGTGGCTGTCCCTTTAATTGTCAGTTATTTTTCTTTTTGTCAGTTATCTCTTTTTTTTTTTTGTGCCACTGCCAGAACTCTAAATCATGAATCAAAAAGAACTGTTCGTCCATTGTATGTTTTATTCGCTCACACAGCGTATTGGCGCTTCTAAATTACAGAGTTCAGACAATCTCCCGATCACCCAAACTTTGGACACAAGTAAAAGTAGCTTTTTATAAACATGTTTCATCAATGTTAAGGAGTTTTTATTTGAATTATTCTAGATCAACTGCAGAATCAGGGGGTATGAAATTTAATTCTTCACTGGCCTGTATATGTTCTCAATATCTCAATATTATTATCAGACATGCTTTCATTTCTAGCCAGCAACATTTTTACTTTTATCGTACAAATTTGTTCATA